TGTAATAATCTATTGCAGCAAGTAAGCTATATGCGATCATACATTGCTAATATCGGTAAGTGAATGATTATAAAGAGTATTGTATGAAAGTAATATAGAATAAACAATTATATTTCGAATACTTTATTCATGTTAATCTAAAGCTTTCTTTCTTCAAATTGAATCATAATTTCATTCATGCTATAATAGTATTTATGTTAACGTCACATGCTAATTTATACTAAGCAATGTCAGGATTATTATTATTATATTATTATTATATGATTACTATATAAAGATTATTTCAAATAGAGTAGAGAAGAAATTTAATAAAAGATGTATATATAGCAATGTGAGTTTATTCAAAAGTTAAAATTATTTGCTTATAATTTTGTTTAATTATAATTATATGTAGTGTCAGTTGCCAGTTAAGTCAATTTCGACATAAAAGTGCAAGATAAAAACAGATCAATAAAAAAGGATTGTGAATGCGTGACGTCCTTTACTATAACGTGACATGGTTGATTTTCGTGTAAGATACGATCGTTAAAGTCTTTACTTTCACTTGACTCAGCACGAAACAACACCATGATTTACTCGCGTCGGGAAAAAAATTTTTGACTCTTATACTAGCATCGCTTTTCTCTTTCCGTGGATCAGGTAGTTTATTGCTTTTACGAGGAAAAACGTGCGACAAAGGATACGGTGAAAGTCTGAGTATAAAAAAGTGGACTTTTGGGAAAAGAGTTAAGGATACGAAAAGGAAGTGGACTGTGTCACATGATTTTCCGGTTCAGCAGCGAAAAAGAAATAAGCTAAGCGAAAAAAAAAATATGCGTTTTGTGTCGAGTATTATAATGCAGATACTTATGGCGGAATATTTAAAGTAAATATTTAAAATTTAAATTATTTAAAAAATTTTATTTTTGACAGGCATTTTTGCGATAGGCATCGCGAATAAATGAAGAAAATTAAAATGTATTTAAACTTAAATGTCAGGAATATTTTTCTATGCATGAGAAATTCTAATATTTTATTCTTATTCTTCCATATTTAAAGTGCTCTTAAAGGAAAATTTTCACAATACAGCTTTTCCAATAATTTTATTTTATGCGTTATAATTTAAATTAACGCAACATTAAATTATTGCATCAATAATTATTACGTAAAATAAAAATTATCTCTTTAAAACAAAAGATCTCGTCGAAAGAAAGACCAAATAAAAATATAAATTTCTTTTTTTTCTTAATGTTAAATGGTACTTTGGTCAAAATCCTCGGATCGATTCCGAATATCTTACATTGTAAGATGTCGTTTTAGGGTTTGCGTAAATACGTACGCCGATATTCGCCGGAATCGACCTGAAGATTTGACTGGTGTGATGGCTTCGGCACGCGACATAACGGGGTACGCGCCGCCGCCGTATGACCATAAAATAAACGTTTGGGGTGGCGCAGGCGGAGGCCAAACCTGGCAGCGTATAAACACTTATATAACGGCAATTAAACTGCTTTTAAGGCCCATAAAACTGCAGTTTCAATAATCTCTGTGACAACACGATTCTGACCTGTCTCCGGAAATGTGACTTCCCTCGGGAGATGTCAAAAGCGGTCACGCCACACCAACGAGTGTAAAAATTTTGATCGTTGTCTCGCCCTACGTTTTCAAATTTTTCGATCGACCGCGTTCCCCACCGTCTAGTTTTTTACGATCCGCTTTACGTAACCAGCCCCTATTTTCACACGCCTCAAAATACGAATATTACGTGTTTTCTTACAACAAGATCTTATTTTTTTTTTTTCGCAACAGCGTTCCGTAGTAGTAAAGTTTAGAGTTTAGCAAAGAATATATATTAATGGCAAATCGAGAAAACAATGGATAAAATAGAAAAATAGAAAATGCGCGCCGCGGCAAGTCACGACATAAAGTAGAATTCCGAATGAAATTTTCCAAATAAAATTTCGATGGGGACTATTCTTTTTCTAGCCAATGTCGGATACCTGCTGGATGCTGATGTGACCCAGGCGAGGGAGGAAACGTTTACGTGTGAGGGACGGGGATAGCCGACAAGATCGAAGGCGGGGGAATACGAAGAGAGGTCCAGGTAGGGAAGGCGGGGGCGATGAAATGGGATAATACCGACGCTGCAGGACGCGGCAGCCATCATCGAATGCTAATGAGGGGTTGGCGGCTTTTGGGGCAGTGGACTCTGCCCATAGAGTGGTGCGTCGTTGTCGGCGGATCGGCCTGATTATAAATTATACATTATCTCCCGCTAGTCCCCATGTACACACACCGTAATCCAGCTAGACATTCGCAGGCCTCTGAACCTCAATGTCAGGATATGTTCCCGTATTCGCGTACCAAAGACAGATTAGAAATTCGTACGTCGTCCACGCTAACAATTTCGCCTGGTTACCACATTCAGAAGTGTGTGTTAGCCGGCATAATTTTAATTTCAATTAAACGTGAACAAAATTCCTGGAAATTTTCATTTCCTTGGGATTTTATTCTCAAACGTAAAAAAGTCGTGGCTATCGAAAGAATTTTTACATCACTTGCGAATAAAAATATAAAACCATTTTTTCGCGTTCGTGATACGTTGTCAATATAAATACAGAAATAAATTTATTTTAATCAAATCTGATAAAGTTTTTATAAATCTAATAAAATTTCAAAAATGTACGTTGCGATGTAGCATTTGTAATCTATTCATATTGTAAATAATCTAGATTATAATGAAATTTGCATATATAATAGTTGATATACATTGTAACACAATTAGCAAACAATTTCTCGTACAAAAATCAATAAAAGAAATAAAGTGTCTTTTCATTGGTTATATATTTTCCGAGAAAGATATTGAATAATAAAAGAGACAATGTGAATTTGTTAGGCTACTTTTTTTACACAAAATTTTTTATTGAATATTCTGTATTTCCGAACATTATAAATTTAAATCAGATACACAGACGACCTTGAAAGGGGAAGGAGACAAATTCGAGTCGATTTTAAATCTTAGAGCATACTACATTCATGTATTAATCATATACTGAATCAGTGAAAACAACAACGAAAAGTATAGTTGTAAATGAAGAAAAGGGTTCATGAACACATGAATTGAATCTCAAACACCTGTGATAAATGTCTACGAAACATTTATACACTTCTCCGAAATATTTGTCCTTTCCAAGCGTGAGAAAGAATATTCGGCGATGTATTTATCAAACATTGTCGCAATAAGATTTAACTAAAATTAATTAAAATTAAAAATCAAATTCTTTAAAAAAATATTTGTATATAAATGCACAGATTAACTACTATAAAAATCAACATGTCCTTTTTTTCTTTCTTTTTTTTTTTTTTTAAATAGACCAATTAAAATATAATCTATGTATTGATACATAAAGTCTAATCTACGTATTGAATCTATGTATTTACGTATAAGATATTTATAGGACATTTATTTTTAATACCACTTTAATTCCATTTTATTTTGTTAAACTCTGTTTTGCGTATATTCACTTTCAAGCTTCCGTTCTCATTACATTTCAATCGCTAAAATTATTAGCTCAAAATATAGATGTAATCAATTTGTTAATAAGTTTAAGTTTCAGTTTTGCGTATAATGTCATAATTTGAAATTTTTGCAGATTGTCAAAGATTATTAAAGAACAGATGGCGCGAACATATAACGGCGAACGCGTATTCTGATTCATCGACAAATTTTATATATATATATATAGAAATAGATATATTCCATTTGAATATATCGGAATGTAATTTCCTGCCTAGCTAAGCATTCCTTCTGCAGTTGGAATTTCGTATAGTGATCGGCAATGCCTATTTGAAATTATGATCCGCTCGATGTAAACAAACCATCGCGATAAAAGCCGCCGGCTGAAGTTTTAATTTTATCTAATCGGTATTTACTGCGCTATTGTGGGCTCGTAAGTGGCCGTATAAAAGATAGTCATGGAGATTATTCGCGGCTAACATTATCACGGTGACGACAGGTGTAGTTGCCCATATACATGTCCTTCTTGCATGCGCAACTAACATAAATGAATAGGGTAAGAACTTAGCGTGTGCCGCCCGGTAGCACGATTCACGTAAATGATCCAAACGATGACCTTGACACCTCAACATACTTGGGATTATATCATTTTTTATCGTAAATTGATGACTAATCATTCGTTAAGTCTAAGCGACTAATCAACAGCGTCATAATTGAACAATTATCCAAGAGGAAACTTACAAAGAACTCTTAAAATATGATTCCTTCTTCTCAATTTTGAAAATACACAGAATGTGTCTGGATAAGATCAATGTTAAAACTTAACGAAAGGACAAATCACTTCTTTCAGACGAAAGAAGATAACCATAATGTGTTCCATTTTCAACTACAAGTACTTTCCCCATACATTACTGAAGAGAGAAATATGGCTAGCATATGGAGCGTAACTTCGTATTCGAAAAGAATCATTTTCTTTGCATTCTTTCTTTTTAGGCTTTGATGCATAAATTTTGTATAAAAAATTTATTTGTTGCGTTACTACTTGTATCCTATTAACGTGAGATTCTATTAAACTCATAAAAGCATTATATTAATAATAATATAAGAATTTCTGAAACCAATATAATTTTTTATATAACAATCTCAAAATTCAAATTTTTTCTTTTCAAAATGTTATTACATTTTTTATATAATTTATATTATTTCTTTAAATATTCTTCAATTATTATAGTTCATATTAATTTTGTTTATCGCAATTATATTTAACTTTTCTGTTAAAAATGCATATAAAATCTATGTTTTTTAAAATATTTACAGAAATATGGAATATATATCATATCATGGAATATATATCATATCATGAAATATATTTCATATATTCGTTATTTTATATATATTACTTATATATATAAGTAATATATATAAAATAACGAATATATGAAAATAATATAGTACGCATAATAATATAAAAACATTCCAATTAATAACAATGACTCGTACTCACCGCACACCACTCTGTCAAATGGACTCATCCAATCTGGAAAATAAAAAAGCTTATTAAAACATCCATATATAAAACTGTCGAACGCTTCAGCAATTATCTTCTGCCTTTTTTCTTATGATGTCAAAGTAAATAATAGAAATCACTTTCATGTATAATTAAAGCTATAAAACTATGCATGCATTTGAAATAAACTTATAATATAACAAGATAAAATATCTTAACCAAACTATAATAAAAATTTGGAAAATATTATAATTTATATGCGCGTATTAATATTAAAAAATACATACCCAATGCGAAACAATAAAATAACAAATAGCAGGAAGAAACTATACAATCTTTTTTAATGTTAGTTCAGGAAAACTATATAGCCTGTCATATTAATGATTAAACAATAAATAAAATTAGATTGGCATTAATAATTAATTGCAAGACATTAAAAATCTTCAAAGTTATCCTTTAAATTAACTTGAAGACTTAGATTAACAATGCTTTTAAAAATATATATCGAAAAAAATGATATATATTCTAATTAATTTTGTATTTGTATTAAATAAAAATGGATATCAATTTGATAACAAAATAAGGGTAATATCTATCAGGACCTGTTTACTGCACGTTACTATATTTTACAATATATCAATTAATATAAAAATATAATGTTTTTGCGTATGATCTCTCTTTCGTCATTTACATTAAAATTCAATATATAAATTAATCAATATTCGAAATATTAATTATCGAAAAGGATAAACAAAAACTTATGAATTGTTGGCATGAATTTAACTTAACAGTTTACAGTTAATTTTTTTAATTTACAATTTCACGAACTAAAATCGTCACACTATCATCTAAATCATTCACCTCTCTTCACAAGAGACATAAAGCTATTCTTACACACTCATAAAATAGATAAGAAACTTATTGACGCATAAATAGACATACGACAGTAAAAGTGTTCAAAAAATTGTAAACCTTTCAGAAAAGTTAGGGAGTTAAAGTTATATTAAACATAAAAATAAGAATTTATAAAATTAAAAACATTATTCACGCGGCAGAGCAAAAATAATATCACATTTTGATGTCAATTAAATCAGTTAAATTGTGTAAGAATATTATTACAATAAATAATAATATTGTAAATATAAAGAGAAATTTAAAATGAGAATCGAGCATTCGAGATCAATTAGTAATCGCGAGCCAATATTACAGAATTAAACAAAATAATAACAAACAACATTGAAATAGTCGAAACATGAAATTAGATATATATTCCTGGAAGTTATAATTGAAAAAATCAATTATACCAAAGAGATAGTTGCCGTACAATTTATGAAAGCGAGATAACGTCCACACTTGTAAACACAAGAGTTGATATGGCAAAAACTATGGCCGACAATTCGATCGTCATTTGCTCTTTACAGAGACGCATAATAATAATAATAAAAAGTTGTAAAATAAACAGGAAATATGTGAAATTGAATCATGTTGATAATCAACGCTATTGTCCGTGAATTAGGAATTACACGAGCACGATCGTGATTCGCGATCGGGATAATGCGGAACCTCACGAGTTGGCAAAATGGAAAGTTAACGCCGAGTTAACGTCGAGTATTATTATAACGTGTTGATAGTGAAATGGGCTTCGGAAAATAATTTGCATATTCAAAGATTACAACTTAATCGCAATATATTCCGCAATCCCCCGCCCCCTGTGGATGTATGCCTTGTATTATATTACTACGTGCTAACGCGAGTGCATTGGTACAAACGAGAGAGAGAGAGAGAGAGAGAGAGAGAGAGAGAGAGAGAGAGAGAGAGAGAGAGAGAGAGAGAGAGAGAGAGAGAGAG